TCATTAGGAGTATATTGAGTGCCACTTTCCGTAAGGTCCACGAGCACGTTGTAACCAGGTTAATTTACTTACTGGCGGTCGCAAGGTGTCACCAACATTAAACTGAAACAACGCGTGGAATATTGTCGTCCATAGGTTGGTCAAACCCATAAGGACTGCTCACTCTATAGACGTAATACACATATCATAAGTTTGCCTGAAAACATCACAAACGAAAGTTTCAGCTGGGTTCCAAGTGAATCCTCCCGCAAAACCAAATATGATTTTGCAAATGGGTGTATTTCGTTAATTTCTTACTCTGCTGGCATGTTTTCCAGCCCACGATGGATACGAGAAGTATTCGTTACATCATCATCATCATTATCATCATCATCATCATCATCATCATCGTCATTTTTATCATTATTATCATTATTATCACGATCAAAGACAGAAGCATCTCTGTTGGCAATGAGGCTTCACTGCCGTACGGCTACAAAGTTTAGCTAATTGTATCTTAGGTCTTAAAGTGAAAAGGGATAAAGGTGGAGGAAGGGAAGACCTCACGCTAGCCCGCCGTAAGCATACTGAATTACTATACCTGCAGGTGCTCAGTCAATCTAGAAAGGAACTGATAGCACGAACGCCACTGACATCGATCAGTAGTCACTTTTCGCGATGTTTTCAGCCAGTGCAGTGGGGGCGAGAGGTTACGGCGTTCCAATCCAATCCAATCACCAGCAATACTTGAATTCTTTGTGATGAATTTCGCACTGGTATTCGAAATCACACACTCTCCATCTCACATTTTCCGTAGTTTTGAAGTAGGTATGGAGAAGAATACTCGTTTCGGAAGAATACTTTTCTGCATGCGCAGCACGCGGTCAAGTCACCGCTGCTGATGGTTGTCAGTGTTTTCTGCAACCGAAATACCTTTCCACAACCAGATCCCCTTTTTGTAATTACTTCGTCGCGAGTCTGTTGACATCACCCGACACCAGCAATGCTTCTGAGCCACTGATGGTAAAAAATTGAATACGTCCTATATCACCTATCCGCAACCATACAACAATACAGCCCTTACTGTGGTCTGGTACAAACGGCCCTTGATACAAGTGATATAGTTCCCAAATTCACAAGCGACATCTTAGCAAAATTTATCCTGTCCTTCGAGATTCTTGCACCGACTTTATCAGGCACTCCTCCGTCACAGATAATACAGCTACCGAGGTGTGCGAAATTCTCCACAGCCTTCAGGGCTTTTTCTTGAACTGCAAGGAACGTGTTCAGAGAATATAGGTCACACTTACTCGACCAACCACTTTGTCTGGATTGTCTTCTTATAAAAACACCTACAATCCTTTGAGCAGTGGTATCATACACTTTCTAGTCCGCTGAGGGCACCTGCCTCACTTGTCTGAAGTCTGGGAAGAACCAACGTAGCCGGACCACCAAACCAGCCTCCAGAGCTCTCACGACAAACGATGAGAGCATGAAAACGTCCTCGGACCACACAAACACACTCGTCGCACCTAATCCCACAAGCCCAGGTGTGGTGGTTCATCACCACGTGTAGGCGATCCGCGGTGTGGATTCATTGCCACGCATTTTTCAACTGGATTTGAAGAACCTAGGGTGCGGTGTATCGAGCCCTGGTCGTTCCGTGGACAAGTGGGTCGCAGTTGAGCGGTAGCGAAACCATCCAGTCATTCCTATGCTGTTTCGTTGGCTCTCATAATGCACAATCAGGGTTCAGTTAGCTCTCATAGGATACGAAGATGAAGCTATCTGACGCCAGCTTTGTAACTGTTAAGATGAAATTTGGAGTACATGCATTACACTAGGTATGTTACATTAATGAGCACTTAAGTACTCAGCTGTAGGCAGAAAAAAGCAGTCAAGGGTTAACTGGGACACCCTGACCCGAGGTTTTGAAAGTTATTTTAACGCTCCACCCTAATGACCGGAAGTCAAAATAACGATTGATCTAAGAATAGCTTGATATGGGTTTTATTTTCATTAAGGAAATGAACAGACCTGGCCTGTTTTCGACCACACAAGAGGTTCGAGCTTCTGCCATTTTTAAACTAAGAAGACTTCTTTACGACTAGACGGTCTGATTTTGGTTAGTCAGCTCGTTTATTTAAAAGAATTATTGAATGAATATTTGTCCAGCCGATAAAAAAATTGCGAATCCAAATTCATGCATAATTGGTATGGAAGTCCTACAAAGACCACCTGGGATGCTTCTCCTACCCAAGTAATATATGTCACAGCGAGTCAAGTTTGCGGACTGTGAGACACCCTATAGTGTTCATTGTCATTCGCGGGAATCCTGCCTGGTTCTGTCCGAACATACTGCAGACGGTTCCTACTACAGAAAACGCGGCTATGTATTTGGATTTCGGCCGAGACCACATTTGATGTAAATTGCTACATGAATGGCTCATTCCCGGGAACGTGACTCATTCCTGGCGTGTCGCGCGGAAACAAGTAATTTGTTTATCTTTTAGGACGGGGGAAATCTCCTGGCCAAAGCTAAATCGAGCATATCAACCCTGTCATTTTTAGGGCAGAATTCCTTGGCTTTTGGGGGCTTGTTTGTGGTGAGCTCTGTCGAGAGCATCGCATTGCTTGAAGTGAGTTATTATCTAGCTACTGTCCATTATATCAGTAGTATGAATAACCTGCAATTCTGCAGCGACCCCGAGCCTAAGCAAGCCTCATGATTTGACAGATCAAGCATTGGACAGAACTATGGGCTGGAGCGTTCGAAGAGCTGACTCCTGTTCTTTTAGACCAACCGAATATATGCTCGGGAGGATCCTGTGTTTTTTGAAAGCGTGGGGTGGAGTTAGCATGGGGGGGGGGGGGTATCGGGGCGAAAATAACTGTAACCTGAGGAGCTGTTTTTGAGCCAATAAGATGTCAACAATTCATCAGCGCTTTTTATCCCCACTAAGATGGATTATTACTATTACTAATTAATTTATTATCGGCAGTTTGCTTCTGATGAAATTTCCAGAGGCTACGATTAGATAATGACTATAGACTGAAGTTTTCCAACAGGGTGTGTTCCAATCGCTTGTTCTATCTGGGTTTTCAGGGAGGGGGGGAACTTCGACTTCTCTACACAATCACTAATAGATTTCCTTCTGCTGCGGTTAGGCTTTTCAAACCACTAATGTAGTTACTGTAGTGTTGACATCACTTTGTGAGAAACATCCCCTTTTTTCACATCAGTGCAGATTCAGTGCAGATGCTCAATGCGACCGTGGCCCGACTATTTTCCAGTCATGGTCGAGTTCAGTTTCATGCCTTAACCAGTTGTCTGCTTACACAGACAACATTCAAACAACAGGGCGAAATAATCCTGGGTAGTGCAGTTTAGATAGGAGATACATCCATCCCATTTTCCAGAGACGAAATTAGTTCAGCTTTGGGCGCTCGATCATAAGCTATTAAGTAGTCGACACATATGATGAAAGTTTATGGATTCATTTGCATCCCTCACTGGAGCATCAAAAAAATAAGTCGGTTGATCTCAACTTTCCATTCTTCTGGTCAGTCGTGGACCCAGAATATGGGAAATTTTATAGGAAAAAAGAAAAGGCCAATCAGGCACTCAGATCTACTCTGGAAACTGACGAACTCCGCTCCACCTAAAAACTAACTTGATGTTTTGTTGCAGTCGATGGACGCAGCTGAGTATCATGTCAACTCTGATGTAATTTTCGACGAGGTTATTTCATTTATTGCGCACAGATTAGTACTTTAGTAAAAGTTAAGGCTGATAGAATCTGGGAGGCTACAACTACCTGATGAGCTTTTAGAAGAATAAGACCGATAGTGAACTGTCGGAGGGCTTCAGGAAGTCTGTGAGTGTACCTATGCATGTGCATTTCCCCTTCGTTGTTTTTGACAGACCCCTGTTTTATACGGGTTGCAATCTTGGCTTGTACGGCTGTTGATGGAGCATAGAACGTGAGGTTCTTGTGATCGATGTCCCCTGCTTTTCTAATGAAACAGGACGAGGAGACCCGAAGATTCGAATTCTTGCTTTGCTATCCCCGATTACAAACATTCTCTACTTCGGCCAGCTCTCTCAATCAGTCCGTGGTTATGTTTCCTCATGTTATTTCCCCCTTGTTGTATGTCAAAGTGACAGGCGGCTTTGAAAATTTGAGTTGATAAAAGGTTGAAACTTAAGCAATGAAGCGCAAGCAATTTATACATTGGGAACCGTAGAAAAGGTGTTCATGATGGAAGTTCGTTCATGAGGAAACAAAACTGAAAGACAAGTAGAAAAAGCAAATTTCATATCCAAGTTTTGACCGCCAAGAAAGGACAATTATGCCTCGTTTCTGAGATGACTTAAGTGCTAGCTGCGCAAACAATCCTAAGTTTATACTGAATTATACCTGTTATGAGATCCGACATTTCCAGAGGGCGTCATCCAAGCATCGTTTGCTTTGCGTTTTCAAAGGAAGCTTGGCCTGAACATTATTGAACGCAAGGGATAATGCTGCAGTGGTTGAGGCCGGAAAGTGACTTCAACGGTACTCTTTGTGCATTATCGAGTCAACTTTTTATGAAAAGTAAGGAGGAACTGTGCTCTGTTCAGCGAACGCCCACAACACTATAGTCGCAATGCTGGGGTTAATTTAATTCACATGCTACACACCATACCGGGAATGATATCGACCATTGTTTCAAGCATTCTGTGCTTCTGATGAGATCGCCTCGTTGTGGTAGTCAGCATGCGAAAATGCCAAGGTGAGTGGGTAGACGACTTTGCTATCTTTGTGAGGAATCATCACTACTGTATAATTGCGAATACAGAAGTAGATTGGAACACGATCTGGGGGCGGAGCTGAATGATTCGCCTTTAAGTTACGAGGCTATTCAGCAGTTTGGTTAACTTACACACACAAGCCGTGTGCAATTAAGTTCTTTAATTTTAGCAGGATGATTAAACCAAACAGCTGAAGAACCACATCGAAAACTGTCTTGTTCGTTTACAGCCTTTATTCAAACAAGAAACAACAATAGCTCAGGCAATTAACACACCATCCAGTGTCGCTTGTTGAAGGAGATCGCGCATTCGTCTCTCGTTCTGTTGTTGAATGCGTTCCAGTTCCTCATCTTTGATAGCTCTTGCACGGTCCACAAGTGGCTCTGCGTATTGTGGGTCTTTAGCCGGATCGGTTGCCAAGTCCAAAACCATTGAATTGAGACCGGTCAGTTCATTCTGGGTCATCTGTAAAATCCAAATATGAGCACGAATTTACTGCAGTAAATGGTGGACGGGAAGGCTCACTTGTCGATTTCATCATCCATCTGAGAACATATTCACTCAATTTTTATTCCTGTTGGTCAGAGTCGTGTATAAAGACGAAGACAAAAAGGTTGGAGGAAGAGATTATCCCAAGGGACATTTTTATGAAATGTAAGAAGCACCTGATATGTGGGGTCAAATGAAGTCTCATATGTTATGCTCATGAAAACTACACGAAAGATGTGTATGCTGTACGCAGAGATGAGTCTGCATTCGATTTAAGTGGAGATATCATCATTACCATCGACAGCATGACATCAGTGTTCAACACCGATACTTCTTAGAAAAGAATATAGGGCTTTTGTCTGGCTGTTGATATGATATTCACCGTAAAGCCACTCTAAACTAGCGCCATTATTATCACAATCAAACTTCCAGGAACGTCAAACCTGCCATGCCCTCGTCTCGCCATGGGAACCGGCAGAAGGCTAGCCGGCTAAATTTCGCTGTGGTCTCTACCTACTTATGAGTAACTGAAATAACCATGAAACAACTGCCGAAAAGGTAACCTCCCATCGCTTCTGCTCCAGCCATGCCATGGTAAAATCGAATTCAGAATCGTCGCTCCTTTGATACGGATCAGGTTGGAGGTGTTGAATGGCTACGACTCATGACCGGCTTTGGAGTATAATTTTTGCATGCAGAGCAGAAACACCAGCAATCGCTTCTCACTCAGCTGACAGAGCCATGATTATGAAGGGTCCAGTAATTCATGGGAGCACTCCGGACCTTCGCATAGTCGGCATTCATAAAACTATACATAGGCATGTGAATGGTGGCTGGATTTTCGGCTTCGCCAATAAGGTGATCATTGCTATTCGAGAAACGAATTTCTAGAAAAATTGTCGTTCACTCTCTTCGCCACAGACAAGTTCCTGATCTTAGTGTCGGTAAATTCCAGTAGCCATCAGTTTTGCACGGGAGACCCAAACAAAACACAACTGGTATGGTAAAGGAAGACGTTTGATGTATCCAGTAAAAGACTATCTGTTCAAAGAATTAGGTGAGAAAATTGCAGACTTTAGTAAATATGGCCGAAGACTTTTTTTCCAGCGAGCGAGTAAACGTCATACACATTTGTCATTTTGAGAAACTGGGAGTTTAATCCAACTCCTGGCCGCTATCTGCGGCAAAAATATCGTAAAAATGGTGACCAAGGGCTTATAATAGCGTTTCATGGTAGTCAGTTAGTAGACTGGGTCCTTAATAGTTTGATTAAGGTACCCCCCACGAAAGATTAAAAGTTGTGAACACAAAAGTAAAGCTTCTTATTCGAAACACAATTGAGATTATGGACAGGGTTTAGGGAAGACGTGGTAAAAATAATGAAGTGTAGAAGGCGTTATTGTCTGGATGACCAGTGTAGATGCTTTTTTGTTACTTTTAGTCCCACTTGATCAGCCACGAGAGTGAGTTATAAGCATTTTTCAAGAGAACATTCACTTTTTACTTTTTGTGTATGGAGGGATATACGCAGTCATTTAAAAGGGCAGCGAGAATATTTTGGGGATATCAGTTTAATTTGCTCCAAATATGATCAATCCAACGCAAAAGGATTTGGGTTGCTTTTACCACATGACAGAGAGGTAGAAGTTTTTGGATGGGTAGCGAAACGAGCGAGGTATATTGCGGGGAAGAAACCTATCATCGCAACAGGAGTTCATATGAAGGCTATTCCCCGCAAAAATATGCTGTGCTGTTCAATCACTTGTTGGTCAACCACTAGCGTCACCAGACGCTGAAATATGAACTATGAGATACTTGCTAGAGGATTTGTAGGGGTTTGTGTAAACGGTGTTAGGTATTTTGTACATCCTGTCCGACTTACAATCTTCACATAGAATTCACCAATTTGGACAAAGTTTAGCTGTTCTGTGAGGGTACAGGGCTGGGGTTGAGTGGAGTTGGAAATGGATGGAGATGAGGTTCATCAGTATGAACCATGAATGCGTGATCTCAGTATCCGATTCAGATTTAGTGTTTTGGTGAATAGTATATAGTCTACTAAACACCCATCCACAGTCGAGGAGAATCTTCGCAGCTCAGGCTGCGTAGATAGCCCTCTGTCCGGTTACCAAGCTGTGGAACGTGGTTGTGAACATTTTGTAACTACGTGCCATTACCATGTACACCCGATGCACATCGATGACGTCAAAACCAGATTACACAACTCAGTGAACAGATTAAAGAAAATAAAATTTTTGCAGTTTGGGGAGGCATATCCGAACTACCAGGAACGGTGCAGCGCTTGTTAACAAAAAACACTTGTGGAGTGAGTAGGCCGTGTGATAAATTGAACAACGTGAACAACTTATTCCATTGTTACGCGGAACTGACCTGGGGAAACCTGGCACAAAAAACAGCCTTCCACATTTCGAGGGGAGTTTTCATGGTCAGGCGGCTAACTTCCAGTTCATAGTTTGGAGGAGCACCTGATTGGATAAAAATGATGGTTTAGAAAACTAGTGAATGAATGACATTCCAGTTTCATTTAGTTTAGCAGCCACGAAACTTGCTCTTACGCCTGTAGTTTTGGTTGACATAGAAGAAAGTGGATAGTGTCAAAAACGTAAGGGATCCACAGAAAAAACAAATAAATTCGTAAGAAAAGTCACATACGGCAAGTCCCTTTAGGTCAAGCCTGTGTCAATGGAAACTCACATCAGAAACGTGTTCCGCTCTACACAAGATGCCGTACGTTATATAAATTTCTTCAGTAAACCACAACGAATAATCGTGGAAATTCCATGATTAAGGGAAGCAAGCTGGTTGTTTCTCCCCTGTTCCACCATGAGAATGCTTTTTAGTACTGGTTCAAGTTAACCTACTGCTCGTCACACTAAATAGTCCCACTGTTTGACAACATCATACGCATACACCACATGCGTACATCTAGGATTTTGATAAATTTGTCGGGACAGTAAACCACGAACATACAGAATGCCAGTTGTTCTACGGCGAAAGCGCAGTCGAAGCAGTAGTATTCTGCACTGTCAGTGACGTCGGAAAGTAGGGCGTAAAAACACTGCAGTTTGGCCATTAGAGACATAACAACGCAATGTATCAGATTAAGGTGTCATAGTACAGTGATTTTCTACCGAAAACACTGAAAAGTTGGTACGGGAGGAGCGAGTTTATGAAAGTAGGCTGTGGCAAATCAAGGCCATCAACAGATGTCGGGGATGGTGTAAGGTCATAAGAAGGACCAAGCCACCAAAATTACCGCCGAATTTTTGTATCGATTTTGTTCTGTCACACACAGCTACAATGCAATTTGACAGCAATAGATGTGGAAGTTACATCGAACGGCCCACTTTGTGACACCGCTCAACGAAGTCCACTAGCTACCAAGGCTACTTCCATCTTTCGTAGGAAATCTGCCGTAAAGTTAGTTAAAATAACGGACGCCTTTTTTCAAACGTATTGATAACCATCTCTCCATAAGAACAAAAAAAGAAATATCACAATAGCCCACCAATATTTGAGAAGCAATCCGCGCCTTCTGGGATGGATAGTGGTTTGCCAACTTCTGTCTGAACCACACGCTGTTCCGGGGTACCGAATGCGATGTGGTTAAGAACGGCCTTAATCCGCTTCATCAGTAAATCCTCTTTCTCTGAAACAAACTTGATTGCGACTCGCATTTTCATTCTTCTACTTACATACAAGGATCCACCATAAAAGTGGTTTAAAAACCTCAAAGTTTTACATATCATTTTCTGCTGTTCCAGTTGCTGGGTCTATGGGAGTAAGAGAAGGGCTAGCTCAAGGTGATATTACCACGAGAAGATCATATTTACTTCCAATGATGATCAGTGGGAGAGGAAAAGGATTCAACAGGTCCTTGTCTGGGTGTGTGGATGTCTTTCGCACCTCGCCAAGTTCACGATATTTTGACTTTAACGATCCTGGTAGGTCTCTCTTGTTGATTCGCGTAAACAACTGGTCATAACGACGCGTTACGGTTCCGAGTAGTGTCTCCATGGTTTGCCACAACTCCCTTGGTTTCGAAAGATCTAACACGAGAATCAGGTGAAATCTCCTATAAATAAAGTAGTTGTTAGATTTAAACAAACAAACCCACCATACACTGTCTGGTGTGATTGTAGCGTCAATCAAGTCGGCCAGTCGTACGCCACGTCCAAGCTCCCACACATGAACCGTAGATTTCGTCTGAAATCAGAGAGATAGCAGCAGGTCTGTGCGTGTGCATAAGGAAGTTGAAGTTATTCGAGGAAAGGTTTTTTTCGGTATCAGTGATGAGCAACATGTTGTCATAAGGTTTCAACTTCGAATATTCTATTTTCTCTGGGTCAGTAGCTCATTACTAAAAGGGAAATTTAGATCTGGGGCGACGGCTACAGTGTCGAAATTCAAAATTTAATTTCTGGAGAAGTCTAGCTTGACGGTTAGATTTGGGTATAAGTTTGACAGATTTTTCTGAACGGTTTACTTATCGGCTGTGCCCAGTAAAACTGAAAATAAGTTGGCTTTCACAAAGCAGGCAATGGAAACATCAGCTTACGTTTAAGCTAATGAGACTACGAAAACAAGCATTCAAATAGCGCTATCTTAACCAAACTGCTATCATTTTTGTTGCGAACAGTATTCTAAAAGTGTGGGCCGTTGTTAGATTGTGGGGATATCCTTACATTAGTTAGTGACTTACTTCATTGTTGGCATCACGCGAATAAATCCAGTGGCCTTTATGCCACCAAGTCCTAGTACGGACCAAGCATTGAACGGTACTATGGACTATTCCTTTTGTTGTTCGTTTCCATTGATAGATCATGTCAAATTTTGCATGAAGGATCACAACTGTCTGGGACACTAACTAAAATATGTTACCTAGGACTACATCTTTAGCTCTATTTCCCAAGTTTTTTCGGTGTTTCGGTCAAATATGCTGCTATTTCGTACTGTTAAATACCAAGGCGACAGTTGGCTTCTGTGTGAAGTACGCATGAAGATGCTGGTTCACAGTTAGGTAGGAAACGGATAAATACCAGAATATTCTGAAAAGTCCTCTTTACTAATGACGTTAACGTCAAAACCACTAAAGTGAATTTCAGAAAAGATTTCTAAGCTAAGGAGGACTGCGGTGGCTTAACAATTGCACGATATGCAAACGCTCGGAGGCATTTGGGGCAAGGTCAGGTGACAAGAACACATTATGTGTTGCTGTCTACCATATGCGTTGGGAGCAAAGCTAATCATGGAGTATTGTAACAGCTAAGATTAGAAAACTGAGGAAAATTAGCAACTTCTTTGTCTGCTGTTTTCATGTACATGCAAATTCGTAAGCTAAGTCCCGTTACTCACATAGAGCGATGTACGGTGTTTGGGCGTGCTTTAGCCTAGCCTTACTACCTGACAATAATCAGTGGAAATTTACGCCACAAGCTCATTTACGTTAAATGTTATTTGGGCAGGCACGGCTAATTCCAGACCATGTCTATCAGATGTATCACTGTTTTGCACCGCGAATCCTTATTGGTGAAAAAAATTACAAAGAACGGATGATGACGCAGCGCTACTTAAATCAGCGAGAACCAAATAGAAGGTCGTATAGCCCTAGTGCCGTCACAGCTTAAATATATCATTAAATGAGCGCCGAAATTATTCTCCAAGTGACACCACTTACTCTTAAGCCCTCGGAAACCAAAAATTATTTTTTATCCACGAATCTCCAGAATCAGGCGATCAAATCAGAGTGGCCAGAGACCAGGATAACTCTGTGAACTAAATATATATTTAAAAGATCATTTACTCTAAAAACGTCACCACGGTCAAATTTAAACTTTTTTCAGAAGTGGCTGCTACTGTTATAAAGGAAACAGCATGTAGCCTGGGTAGTAAAACCTGTGGTTCTGATGTTTAGTGAGCTTGGAAGTTCCATTTCTAAATCTAAATATTTTGTCACCAATCCTAGTTTTGGTGCGTTTAGCTGTAGTGGCGTTGAGCGATGACCTACACTCTGACGCACCAGTGAACCACAATACATTACCGGTGATTATATTAGCTCGATGTATGATGAGACATCTGAAATAGTCACCATCGGCAGTATAGCACATGTTTAACACTGATGCTCCTCTATCGTTTGCAACAAATTGCCAAATAAAGATGACATTTAAAATATCAATATCAACATCAACAGGCATTATAAATGACAAGCAAGTTATCTACAAACGTGGTAATTGTAAAAAATATGGCACGCGCACGAAAAACAGATGTTCTTGGAAAGCTTTCTAAACATCAGTCTCGGTGCTACAATTACTTCACCATGCATCCGTCTGCCTCGTGGGGTTAGAAAAGTCATAATGCTTTATGCCTTTGCCTCCTCACGTACCCGGTAATGCATGCAAACTTATAAAACTACT